TAACGTTTTTATTCATGCGCACAAAACGCTGGCGGCATTATTAGCTGTTGTCCAGTCCAGCAGCGACTGGACACCCAGTTGGACATGAGCAGCGCATCAACCTGCGTCCAGCGTCGGGCTGAGAGGGGGGGAAGGACGGCCATTCTTCACAGACGGCTGTCCTTCACAATGAATTTCACAAATCAAATTCTGCCGTTGAGAATGAGCAGAGACAGGACATTAAATATTAACCTGTTTACTGCGCGGTACAGGAATTAACGGTGACAAAAAGAGATGCCTGAGACGATTCAGCGCGCTTTGCTCGCCTTTTATTCAGTTTCCCTTCTTAAAGATCCTCCAGTTGCTCCCTGCTGTGTCGCAGCTCATCACGCCCTTCGGCCAGAAGCAGCTATCACCTGTCTGAGTAAAAGTCAGGCTGGCTGCTTCGGACGGCGGCTCACCTTCAGCGTACCAGTTACAGCTCCTTTGCTTCAGCCAGACAGGATTAAGCTGCACTCGTCTTTGTGGTATTTGAAGTTGTGAAAGGATTTTAAACGGAGGATTGTGGAGTTTTGTCAAACATTTGAGAGCTTACAAAAGGAGTTTATATGTTTTTATGAATGTGCAATTCTTCTCAGAAAAAAAAAAATCTAATTTTCAGCAACAGTCTGGGCTTTCTCCCTTTGACTTGGATTATCTCCAGTCAATTTGTTTTTTACTTGGCAAAATCGGTGAATAGAAGAAAAAGTTGTGAACGGCAGCTTTGATTTTCTGCGCTGTTTTAGAATCTCAGGCTGCCTGTAGTTTTAATAATAAAATCTGACGCGAGTAATTGCTGTCAGAAAGACAAAAACCCTGAACATAAAGCCAGAACTACACCAGACAATCCTTCTGTCCGTAATCACGGAAATTCACACGAAATCAAAATATTCCCACATTTTTAAAGCCAAGGCATCATTGTTTGGGGATTTATTTTATTTATTTTTTTTTTTGCAGACTTAAACAAAAATATTTGGGTTGATTTGGGGTTTTGTGTTGCTACTTTAGAAACCCAAAGTAGCAAGTGGGAGTTAGCATTCACAGGTATCTCTTACTTCTACTCCACTGCTGCTTTAGCCCAACGTGATGTCAAGTTGTTGTCTGTGATCGATGTGATGAGAAATAAAAAAGTCACATTTACCGTCATGCATCAGCTCAAATGACAGAGCAAGGCGGTGAAACTCTGCTCTCCATGAGAGAGGGGGAACATTACTGCAAAATCCTCTCAAAATCTGTGGTTTGGATTACAAAGAAAAAATAAAAAAAATCACAAAAACATTCACAAAACCCCAGAGGGTCTCCATAGAAATGTTTTAGATCAAAACCCATTCATAAGAATGGTGCTGTCAAAGTCCGGCTCTAAATTCCACTGAAAACAATGTGTGTTCGCAAACTTCACAATTATTCAATACTTTGTGTTGGTTTACCACATAAAATCCCAACAAGGTGCATTAAAGGTTGTTGTAACATGAACGTATGCGAAAATGTAAACACCAGGAGATATACTGACTCGTGTCCACAATGGGAGGCACTGAGAGAAGATTTAACCTGATGGAAAACCACAAGACAAATCAAGCCGCTTGTGATGAAACCGAATCTTTGCTCTCTGATACTTCCACGTGGTCTCGTATTAAAAGTAACATGTCGGTACAGGAGCATGTGGATCTGTCTGCTACAGGCCCAGCTGTCTCCCATCAGCCCTCAGGAGAGCATCAGCGCCGGAGGAGCGTTTCCCCCACCTGCATTTATTTGTGTGCCTGTTCTGTGTTCCCGCGGGGAAAGGTAGTGGTTAGGTGAAGGTTGTGATTCCCAGAGTAGATCTGCTTCCACACAACTCTCTTTCTATCCACAGGTATATGTCGTGTGTGACTTTATGTGGGTTTTTTTTTTTTCCCATCTCTGCTGCCGGTTTTGGCTAAATGTTGTGCTGTAAGCGTTAAATGAGTTCCTGAGGGCGGGTTCGCGTACAGCAGAGGTCATCGGTCCTGACTCCGAACAGGACCTGAGGAGATGCATGGCGCTTGTATCACAGTGGATTTTGTGTGTGTGTGCGTGGGTGTGTGTGGGTGGGTGTGTGTGGGCGCAGCAACATCTCATGTTTTAAAGTGACCAGCAAAAGCATTTGTATCTCTTGTACTGCTTCACATGATGTCAGATTACATCCTCAAACCTTCATGTATCTTATTAGCACTTTGAGTTAGGCCAATAGAAAGTACAGGATAACTGTTAAATGTACAACCAGGTGTTGTACATCTACAGAGACCGTCCTGTTTGGAGAGTAGCTGCAGTTCTGTCAGATTGAAAGGGGAATGACTCTGAAGGGCAGTGCTCAAGTCTTGTTACAGATAATTGGGTTTAGGTGTGGACTTTGACTGGGCCGATGAAATTAACTGCGACCGGCTTCAGGAGGAAGGCATTCCCGTAGCATGATGCTAACAGACTTGATTGGGAATCGATTGTTCAGATGAGCTCCACAGGACATGTAAAGGGTTTCACATTAAGATAAAACATTTCATTTTGGTTTCATTTGACCAAAGCGCCTTGAACTGCATGTTCCTCTTGCACTGTCTTGTGACAAACTGCGAGTGGGATTTTTTATGGCCTTTTTTTTTTACAGCAATGGTTCATTCTTGTCACTCATGAAGGCCACAGTTTTGAAATGCAGGACTGATGAAGTCAGTTGTGTCTCCAATTTTTCTCACCTGAGTTGTGGACACATGCAGCTCCTCCAAAGCTATGTTTCTTTACTCCTAAACCGTCACCATCAAAACACTTCGTTGTAAATCGATGGCTCCACCCTCATCATGACAGTTAACGAGTTAAAAGACTTTGACTGGGTAGGTTTGGAAGTTGTGCCATCTTCTTTATCCATTTTCAGAAGCTGGTTTGAACACTGCTATGTGGGATTTTGGGCAATAATCTAAAGTTGTTTTGAACTTTTCCACAACTTAATCTCAGATTAAATAGGAAAACACCCTCCCCAGCTCTCACAGACGTTCCACACTGGCATATTTTTCTTAAACTTTTTAAGCCTGAGCAGCAAAAGTGTTGCTGAAATCCTAATTAGAAATATTTAAAACATCAACTACTTTATGTTGACCGATTGCATATAATCCTGATAAAAAATTGCACTGATGTTTTTGCGGGTGCAACGCACCAACGTGGGAATAGATTGAAAGGGTGTGAATATTTTTGGAGGGATTCGTTGATGCACAAGGTTGCATTCACTGTCCACGTCTCATGGATGCTGCCGATTTTTTCTTTTTTCTTTTTATTTTCATGATGTGTAAACAGTTGGGAAGTGCAAATACATTATGTGTGTCCTCAGAGTGTGGTGAATGAAGTTCACCGGATGAGAGCAGTAACCTTAGCGAGTGTCAGAGCGACGCGCAGGAGCTCCGTCTGTCAACGCAGAGCATGTCTGCAGGGAGAGCAGCTTCCTGGGATCCAGGAGCGTTTTGTCCTCTGCAGCGCCGGCTATGCCTCCTTCACATCAAACATCAGATAAAGTCAAGCTGTGAAAAATGATCAGCTGGCGAAAGAATTGAATAACTCCCACATGTAGGGTTGCCACCCATCCCTTAAAATACAGAATCGTCCCGTATTTGGCTGTTAACTGTCGCGTCCCGTATTGAACCGAAATGAGAGGCGAGTTGTTCCGTTTTTCTATAAATGTCTGATAGACACGCCTATCACACACATATCAGCACTAAGTGTAACAATAATGACCAAAATAAAACAGGAAATATTAAGGTCAGCTAAATTGTCGTGGTGTGAGCTAAAGGACCCCCAGAACGCTACGGACCGACGCGCTTGTGGTTGCCTAGAGACGGACACTACGCAGTCCAATGGAAGGAGGAAATGTAGAGATGTCAGAGCTTTAAATCTGTTTTATTTTTCTGTTTAAAGACTAACTGATCTATTTGTTTAATTTCTTACATCATCAGATTATTTCACATAACATTTCATATTATAAATGAAATATTCCACCGGTGGAACTAGTAGTTGTTTTAATCAATATTAAGGAGTTATTGACTTAAACAAGCTTCTATATCTTGCTCAAAAGTTGTTTATTAATCAGTTTTGTCTTATTTTAAGTGTACTAAGATATTTTCACTAGAAACTGGACAAAAAAAAAAAACTTGGTAAAAGTTTGCCTTCAAATGATATAAATTCAACTTTACTGATCCCAAAGGGAAATTAAATGTTGTTATAACTCATATAGATTTGATTAATGATAACATTACCCAAACCATGAATTTCAGTAATTAAATTCAAACTAATCAAACTCAATTTTGTAGAAAATAATCCTAAATAATAACTAATTAAAATGGATTTTAAACACAGAAATAGTCTAATTATGGTAAGGCTGAACAATATTACAATATCATGAAATAAGCGTCTTTATCAGTCTGTATCAATACTTTTTTATTAGTTTTCCGTCATAGTTTTCTTATATTACAATTTTTTCTGTATTTTGATGTACTTTCAGATGGTGGTAAAATGAATGGTTTAATTAAACTAAATCATAAAGTATTTGATAGTTGCAGGTCTAATGTGACACATTTATCCTGCTTTCTAAAGCAGCACACTGGCAAATGTCTCTACTGCCTTTGATTATTCGCTTTCTTATGCTCAAAAAGCTGTTTTCCATTGTCATAAAGCATAAATAAAAACATCTAATAGCACAAAATGTGTATTTTTCCAAATTAAAACTTCAGCATTTATTATATTCTTTCAGCCACTAGCACTGACAGATTTTCTAATCTCTCAAGCCTAAAAGGATTAAAATCCCACTCTGAATATTAAGCAGCTCCGCTGGGATCCTGTCTGAATTAAAATGTTCGCAGGAGATTGTCACCGTCGTGAAAACCTGTACCCACTCTCACGTTCTCGTCACTCGGAGGGAAACGTGACGTTGCTCTGCCTGTTTGAGCTGAAGCTGAAATTTGTCTCTTTTTATCTCTCTCTCTCCTCACCAGATCATTTCGTATCAGCCGTACGGACGCTCCGTAGACTGGTGGGCGTATGGAGTTCTGCTTTACGAAATGCTGGCAGGACAGGTGAGTGCTTCACACCAGTAAACAAACTAAAAAAAAAATATATATATATATATATATATATATATATATATATATATATATACTTTATGTACATCATCAATCTAAACTCATAACTTTGTGTCACCACGACCTTAAAGCTTTTCAAGTTTTACAAACTAAACGTGAAATAACACAAAATCACTCATATACCTCCTGTTCTGTCAAAGCGGCGCTAAAGGAATATCTGGTAGACCGATGATATTAAAGGAAAAAAGCAGGAGGACATATATATTCATGCAGACAGGCTACCTCCAGTCGATGAGGGCCGCTGGTGTGGAAATGACGAATAATTCATTTTATAGACTGTCAGAGCAGCCATATTGTGGTAACTGATGATAACGAGCCAGTGAGCGGGGGGTGGGGGGGGAAGCTGGGTCATCCACTTCACTGACCTCACAAGGTCTTCCTGTGAAACATGATCTAATGTTTCACAGCCACTGTTTCTGGCTGTTTTTCCTCTTTTCTTCAGGTGAAAACACCTTTTAAATGTCGCTTCCTGTGTATTGTTAGCGGAAACGATCAACGCCGAGAGAATAAAGTGTGAAAGCCTCGCTGCGTCTGCAGCCGTTAATTCGGTTCGAAACGGAGGCGATCCGTGATGAGGCTTTGCCGACTGAACGTATTTGTAAACTTTGTGATGACGGATGAAACCCTGACGTCCTGAACATGGTGTCCCTCCACCCACAGCCTCCATTTGATGGTGAGGACGAAGACGAGCTGTTCCAGTCCATCATGGAGCACAACGTCTCCTACCCAAAGTCCATGTCCAAAGAAGCCGTCTCCATCTGCAAAGGGGTGAGCGGATGAGGAATTACTTTCCTTGTTTTGTTTTATTGTAACTATGAAAACTGGATTATGTGAGCTTTTTTTTTTTTTTTCATCTAGCTTAAAATAAAATATGCATTTGAATTTGTATTTTTTTAGTCGTGTTTTAAGTTTATTTATTAAAGCCTGATTAAGTTGGAGGATTACTCAAACTTAATGACTGTTTTCTTTTTTATTTTCTTGCTAATGACTGTGCTTTTTAAAAAAAGTAAAACTTTAGTGATTTTTATCTTTTACTTAGAGTACTATTTTGCAAATAAATATGGTTGTATTTTAAAATTTTTCTTTGCAATAATAATAACATTCGCATTCAGTTGGGGGGTTTTCCGCTGCAACGTTTGGGCCAGTATGTCCATTGGTAACCGTCGGTAACGCTAACGTTGATATTCGTTTAATGCTTTTTAAAAAAATTTAAAAAAGACAATTTCGTATTTGCAGTGTTTTCATTAAACAACAAATCAACAAATGCAACTAAAACACACATGAAACAACTCGTTCACGCGCTAAATCATGGTGGTGGAATAGATTCATATTTCAGTTTTTTTTTAAAAACATGCCTTTTTTTAATTAATATGTTTCCATTTAGCAAATATGCGAAATTTTATGGTTAATAGTAATGATACAAATTTTAAAAGGAAGTTGTTTTAACTTCAGTTGTAAATTACAGTGGTGTTTTCATCATCACTATTAGCCATTAGCTGGGAATCCAGCTACTGAGAATGTTTTAGAGGGCATTTATTTGTGCATGTTCATGCATATGTCTGCTTTCCTCCTCTAAAAATATGCTCTTCAATTTTTTCAATTTTTTTTTTTATTGTGGCTTTTACAACATTAACTAATGTTATAAGAGCTTCTAACATTAGCGCTTATAACTTGAGATTCTCTTATAAGGTGATAAACTTAAAAATGAAAATATATGTCCACAGAGCACAGCCAGATCAATTTGGATTTACAGATGTTGGGATGCTGCACAATTTATTTAACAATTTAATTGTTTTACAGGTAGATTCAAAACGTGAGCCAAGATTTGATGGTGTTTTTTGGTTTTTGTCTTTTGCATAATGATGCTCAAAATCCCAACCTCAGAATGTCAATAAGGTGGTGTGAGGAAGATGAGAAATGTCCTAAACAGATTTCTCACAGTATGATATCAATATCAGCAGAAGGTGAGGATCGGGCTTTGACAGCGCCGCTTTCGGCGTTTCTCCTGCAGAAATGAGACTATTGATAAACCAAACGATGTCAAAAATATTCCCAACCGACACAGAGGAAAAAAGAAAACGACTTGTGTGTTAGAAGAATTTAATATAAAAGCCATAGTTTTGTTTGTATCCTGAGGCCCTGCAACTTTGGTGAACTGTGCACTAATGTGCTTTGTCTTACTGTCCCTTCCTCTCCACTGAATTGTTTTTGTCCTCTTTTTCCTTCAGTTTGCGTTTTGCTGAGAAATGTATCTGCGTCCTGCAGCCCGACACTCTGCTGCTTTAACCCTGTTTATATTCTCACACTGTGGAGATTTACTTCCCTTATACGAGCAAAAGTTTTCAAACAATTTCAGTCAAATGTTCATCAATATATGTGTTTCTTGAATTCCTGAGCAGCGCTGTCACGGATTAACACACAATTCTAACCAGAATCTAAAGAAAAGAAGTTTGAAGATTGTAAAGTGATTACGAGAAGGAAGAATTAGAGAAGATGAAGAGAGACGGAGGGACAGTTTTAGGAAGCAAAGTGATGTTGAAGATCTGCTGGAATATTGGAAACGTGTAATACGCCGCTATTATTGGCACCCCTGATGTGTAAAGGCCATAAAATAAATTAGCTTTTCTATTTTGGTGCCATAAAGACACTTTAAAATTTCAACCTTTAATTTGAGAACATTTACTGTAAAACACAGTGGAAACATATATTTTTTTGTGATTAGTGAGATAATTAGCAGTACAGCTAACAACTCTATTAAAGTTAAAATAAATGAAGCATTTTTCTAATTTAAGTGGTGATGAACTTTTGATCAGTAATCCATCACTTCCCGTTTCCCGGTGACATGTTGTTACATCAGGGCTTTTTGATTATTTACATTTAGTTGAGTTTTGTTAGTTGTTCTTTTACTTTATCCCGTGTTTCCCTGTGGTTTTTTTTCTCATAAAGCCTTTTTCTGCCTCAGTCACATTGTTGCCTATTTGCCTTTTCTTTTAATGTTGTAGAAAGACACGATGACGGGGAAGATAACACTCCTGCATCACCTTGCAGCACATTCAACACTGCAGCATACACACTTTCATCACCACATAACCAAGCCTGCCACTGATTTCTTTCAGACTAGTCAGAGAAGAAAAAGCCCTGCAGCGCTCACACGCCACGCGAATCAGATTTATTGTACCACTGCTGCACAAAGAACGCAGCGGATACTTAAATACGTCTCCGATAAATGAATAACATCACTTTATGTCACTGCATAGACACTGAATTTAAGATTATCGGTGCTGGACACAGTGAACGCTGCGAACTTCACACCTTTGATCCCAATAGACGTGCACTATTCAGAACTGGAAGAGCATGAAAAATTACATTTACGGTTGGAAGATATGAAAGTTTCACACAATATTTCTAATCAGGAGTTTAATCTCAAAGCTCTTGTTCTGGTCAAACACTGATTACCAAATACAATTATTTAAAAAGGATCATAATAATAATAATAATAATAGTAATGAAACATGTTTTAAAAAGCTTTGCTCTTCTTATCCCCCACAAAAAGATCTCATCTTACTCTCTAATTTTTTTTGTATAAGTATTTATTCTCGCCTCGTTGCCCATCCTGTCTGCTACTTTTAAAGCTCTCAGTAGGAACTGGATGGAGCCGCAAAGTTTCATCAAAGCTGCAGCACGTGTGACTAAAATGATCAGCTAATTTGGTCCTGATGTGTTGAAGTCAGGCCGTTATCACCAGTGGGAGAAGTCTGATTAAAATGTCCACACTTTATTTATTTATTTATTTAAAATAGTCTGTGGTGGTGATTGTACGTCACACTTTGACATGAGGCTTCCAGACCAATCGGAGTCGCTGAGCTTCAAGAGTTTCTCAAAGTGTGAGGCGTTTCGTCCTGTTGGCGGGTTTGGCAGCAGGGTTATGTCTTTCACTGACTGGCAGCCTGTGGGCAGACCTGAACCCACAAACTACCTTTGTTTCTCCCTTGTATCAACAAAAAATGTTCAAAAATAAAAAGTTATAGGAACAACGTTCAGTCACCAATCGAGAAACCGGAAGCAAACATTACATTTTGTTGAGAGTCATCATCAAAACACATCAAATATGTTGGTCAGTATTCCATTTATTATGGCTTTTCAGTTTTCTGAAAGTGTGTTAATGATGATGATGGTCATCAATGACAGGAGTTAAATGCCTTTGAATAGGGGTGCACCGATTTATCACACAGCTGATTTATCGGTGCCGATTTCCTTAATTTTGGGGGATCGGTCATCATCCGATTTTTACATGTGGAGCTGATCTTATCCAGCGATCTTATCTGCCTCGGCAAAGGTTTAAAAATCAGCCACTGACCTCTTCTGCTGTCCGTGACAGAGGTTTGACTGATGGATCTACCCACCAGGTCATGTCTGCTGTCAACAATAGTGACCCCACTGTTACCAACTCAGCAACTTTCTCGCTATATTTAGTAACATTTCAGACAAAAAATTTATATATATATCTGCAAAAATCTGAATCGGCAGGTCAGGCTTTTTAAAAGATCGATAATTGGCCAACAGCCAGAAAACTGCAATTGGCGCACCCCTGCATTTGTACGTAAGTTATTATGTGTGTTAACATGTTTTTCTGTTCTGCAGTTTTAAAAACCCTTACTATTGATATAACACAGAATTGGCCTCCAAAGGTAGAACTCATCGAGGATTATTCATAGCAAATGGCAAAGAAACCACACAAACGTATAGCAGGATATTTGATGAGTTTTCTTAGCAGAAGTTGTGTTGTTTGTTTGTGCTGGTCCATTAATCGTAGTTCGTAACCTTTTCTGTAGGATTGAAGTGGTAGCCAGGTTTCTTAGGGGTGCTGAGTAACCCCAGCTCAGCGGCCTGGTTAATGGTTAAACTGGTTATTAGTGAAACATCCCACTAATAATAACTCACTGTATTTGTTCTGCCTTTGGTAATCCTGAAACCAACAGGCTCTGCATTCTTCCCGTCCCTTCTCTGTTTCATCTGAACAAAGTGTTGCTGCGGTAAATTAATGTTTACTTTAGATTTATTAATCACATATATCTCATTTTAAGCCCGTGTTGCTTTGTCACATTGTGAAACTTTGGATATCTCTTCCAGCTAAATGTGCTTTCTTTTGAAAGTTATCAAAAGAGTAGGGCATTATTTCTAACTCGGTTAGGTAAAGTCACATCAACATCAATTTTGCACAGCTTTCCATGTTCTGGGCCGGCATACGTGTCTTGTTTTACTTTCTAGACTGAGTGAAAATTGTCAGGGTGAGCTGAAGAGACGGCGTTTCTCTAAAGGCAGAGCAGGCGGAGGGAAAGCGAGGGGAAAGCCATTATGTCACACATTGTAGGCCCATCTGTCAGCTGTCATCCACTGACCTAGAAACGCAGCGAAATCGAATGTTGAGAGATGCGAAAGAACGGAGAGGTGATCACTTCTTACTGAGATACATTCAAACAAAAAGATCCAAAGCCACTAGTTCTCTTTTTTTTTTTTGTAGATGTTGCTGCCATTAATCGTTTATTTAGCTTTCACATAAAGTGACGCCAATCTGAGCCTCTAGTTTCAAAACCGGAAATGTTTATCTGCTACAAAGGGACATTTTTAACCATATTTAGGGATATAAATTGAGCCACTTTATTGTATTTTATTGCATCTTTGGATAGGAAAGCAATTTTGTATCAGCACGCACATCCCAACCATCTCAATCTGCACTTTTCTAATTTATGCTTTCTGTTTTTCCTGATGAAATCTGGAGACTAAGACTTGAACCTTTAAGGTGAAAATAAAAGAGTTACATTTATATGATTGTTAAAGCCCATTTTTCTGCTAGAAAACTGGCTACGAGGAATTTAGAGTTACTTTTTTCTTTCTTAGGCAGCATTCAGTTTCTGTACGCCAAAAAATTTGGAGGAAACTTCCAGAAAACTGCAAAAATGCCGAAACACTGAGCTAAAAACTCAGCTGTTTAGAGTTGATTTTTGATTCCTAGTAACTGGAAAATGGATCAACATATATTGATGTGTACTTGCTCGATGATTCTGATTGGTTATTGTATTCTGCAAAATACTTTGAATGGCCTTGCTGCTGAAATGTTTTATACATTACAGAGGAATGTTTTGTCGTCTCATATATTTATCTCCTCACTCGAACAGCTGATGAACAAACAACCAGCAAAGCGTTTGGGCTGCGGCGCCGAAGGAGAGCGGGACATCAGAGAACACGCCTTCTTCAGACGGATCGACTGGGAGCGCCTGGAGAACAGAGAGATACAGCCGCCCTTCAAGCCCAAAGTGGTAAGTCGACACATCCAGGCTGCAGAAAGCCACAGGTTTTCCTAACACCTTTCGGCAGTAGATTAAGTTAAGTCCTAATGCTTCTCCTTACGAGGATTATTTCTATGGTTCAGGTTTATGCACGATAAAAGGTGCAGGGAAAAAAAAGGTGTTTGTTTTCCTCCTGCTAAGACTTTCACTGCTCATCCATCCTGTCTGCAAAATAATCATTTTAGTGGAAGTAAATCTCTCTTCTTTTTTTGACCTAAAGTAGAAAATTCATCGTCATCATCAGAAAAGAAAAGTATCAACATAAACCTAAATCAAATAACTTTGACATCCAAAGAAACTCTAGATATTTTTCTACAAAAGTTTAATTGAACCAGATTGGACACACAAATTTGTTGGCACCTCCGATTAACAACAGGGCTGAATCTAACGAGTATTTTAGTAATCGATTATTCTGATGATTAAATGATATTACAGGGTTTTTATCTGACTAATCAGATAAAAAAACAACAACTTGGACGTTTTACTTTTTTTATCCACTTTTTTATATATAATATTAATATTAGATGTACATAAAAAATACACATAACCAAATAATTCAATTTCTTTTTTAAATAAGAAAATACTCATTGTATTGCCTAAAATTTGAATGAATTTTGGCTAAAATATATTTACAGACCACTTTTTTTTATTATTGTTGTTGTTGTTCATCTGAAATGCAAAATATGTAATTATTTTTGTACAGTTTTGGCTCTGAATATGTTGGTTTTTTTCAGCAAATGGCCTTCTTTCAGTCTGAATTCCCCAGTTAACGATTAATTGATTACTAAATTCGTTGACCATTCTTTCACTACGATTAATTGTTTCAGCCCGAAACAAGATGTTTAGAAAAACACTTAAAATACACATTTTATTGTTTGATCCATCATATTTAACAATGAATCATTTTCGCTCCAAACTCAGTCTCATTGTGTTGCCATGCATCTCAGACTCATCTGACTATGTGGTTTTAGTAAAAGTTTAGCAAATTCAACATGTTTACATTTGCAATGGTAGGGCAGAAATAAGCATTTTTAGTATGCCTCCCAAAAAATTCAATTTGAGCCTATTCTAAAATAATATAAATTAATAAGAAGGTTTTATACACTTCCTATAACAGTGGTGACAACAGTTGTTTGTACCACAATAAATGGTGGAATAAATTGTGACATTTCCTAAATATATTCATGTAATCTCTATGGAAAGAGGTTTTTTTGTATATGATTGCATCTGCAGCACTGAAACAAAAATGTCACATGATCATTTTAAAGCTTGGAAACAGCACAGACAGAAACAATACAGAACCTTCCTGGACATCTGATTCAGCTGGAGTCACATTAGGATGCAGAATAACTAAATAAAACATTCAGATTAAAAAAAATCTGACTCTCCCAACATTTAACAACATATATGTAACATTTAGTTTCTTCTTTATACTTTTGCATTTTGATCATCAACAAATTCTGTAAATCTGAGGAAAGGACAATTTGTTCCTTTTACAAACTCATTTTATGTGATGCCACATTTCATTCAAGCTTTCTTACAAAGTTGAACATGTTTGTACGTCAAGTAGATCTGTTTTTCTTTTTATCATAAGATTTGTGGCATTGAGGAAATTCAATCCACACAAACTAATCCTTATCTTTACATTAGTTGCTGTTCTCGTTCTGATTATTAGAGCTTAAAAAGTCTTATCTGAGTTTCCCAGAGCTTTTCGCTCAAACAATCACACACGACAGATATGCCTTATCTTTGTGCAGCACACTGTGGAGGCATTTCCCTTTGGGAATTTGAACGTTTTTATCCCAAAAGAGAATGAAGCTTTTATCTACCATCACCAAACCATGAACATTTCAAATTCTCGCACATGCTACATTTGCTAATAAAAACCAAACGTCAGAGATACAGTAAGAATCCCCCAATGGGTTTGGTCCCATAATGCTTTTTGTCCAACATTTCCTCAACAAACTAAAATATAGTTTGTTTCATTTCTGTAGCCTTCTTAAAAAAATGATGCCAACATGAACGTTGAAAAGCTTTGAGATGTACATCTTTCAATTAAATGAACTGATACAAGTTCTTCTTCTACTGATAAAAATTGGTTCTATGTGCTTATTGGTATGAACACCAACACAAAAATCATCAAATCACTGATGATTTTGAATAAAATTTAAGAAACAACCAAAATAGTCACTTTAGTGATCATTTTTAGAAATGTTCCAAAAAAGAAATTGTAATAAGTGATCCATTGCTGATAATAAATCCTGAATCCAAACTTCACCCTTTAAATCATTTATGACCCAAATTCATGAACATTGATCGAAATAAAGACTCCCAGCTCCGTAGAGGAAACATGTACGCTGCATTTCCTTCAGGAAAAAACAAACACAGGAACCAAATACTTCTCTCAGCGTTGTTTACAGATGAGTGTGTGTCCGTGTGTGTTCATTTTAAAAACTTCACCTCTCCACTTCTTCAACCCTCAAGGGCCCCACCTCCTCCGATAAGGTGAATCCTGACTGAGTTTTTGCCCATCTAGTGGATGCATTGTGAGCTTTGTGTGTATGTCGAAGAAAAATGTTTGTGTGTGTGTGTGTGCGTGAGTGAGTTGGCTGAAGGAAAAGACGTTTTGTATAGATTTTAAAAAGTACCGAAGGAGGTTTCTGCTGCTTCTGCATCAGTTTGTTGCTTGGGTGTGCTGTGTTGAGAATCGAATGCTAGCAGAGACTGGAGTACTGGAGAGTGAGCCTATATATGCAGTGCCTTAAAAAAATATCCAAACATGTTGAACTTTTCCAAATTTCCAAATTCAAAACTACATTTATTTCTGCAGTTTTAATTTGCGCAACTTTGGGGGGGGACCCTGCAGCTGCGGAGTACTTCACGCCTCAGTGGGTGGAGTTACAGGAAAGTTTCACTCTGAGACGTGGTTTCAAAAAGTGCCTCTGATCACTGGAGACTCGTGAACAAGCGGCTGGATCGCAACAAAATTATGATTTCACTGAAAACTTGTTAAGCGCCCCTAAATTTGCGCAGAAGAGGTCTCTCTCGGCTAATTGCCTGACTGCTGGAGGCGACTCACGCTGAACTTTACTATGTGGCTGTTGGGAGTAAATTGGGCTGATTGCACATGGACGACAAACCTTTTAGATTTTCGGTCATGAAACTTTTGAAAACCTTTTATCTGTTTGGCTCTCAAGCAAAAATCCCCAAATAAACACAATGAAGTTTATGACTATGAATTGACAAAATATGGAAAAGTCGAGCGTTATGAAAGGCACTGTACTGGTTGGTTTAATGCATTTAAACACGCATGTTCACCGCACAAGCGCATGCTGGCATGGCTCTGGATGTACGCAGAAATACTTAGAGGGAAGAGAGATTTGGACAGAGAGCCAAAGGGTTGACTGATCCACCTCCTGTGCCATGTAACGGCGCATTATTCCCGAGTCCATTACCGATAACTGGCTACCATTAAGCATCACCCTCTCACCCTTCATCCATTCCTGCCTCTCTAATCCAAATCCTCCTCCTCCTCTTTCCTTTGCCTTCTTTCTTCATTTTTCTTTGCCTTTCAATCAATCACACTTCATTTGGTTGCAACAGCTGGGGAATTGCAGTGAAAAAGAAAGAAACTCTGCCTAAGCGGGAAAGTCAGGCCATCTGTATGTACAAGACCATGACCTGAGACAACACAGAGGACGGTAGAACGACTGTCACGCAAACGGAGTCGGCACCGGTCCGTATTTATAGAAGCCGATGGCGGCACTTTGCGACCGTCTGCCGCAGGTGGGATTGTAGGTGAAAGAAAAACGGCAACATTGAGCTGTGTTGGTATTCAAAGTCTGGTCCATTTCCAGTACACCGACATAATTCACACTCGCTTGTGAACGTGGAGTTGTCTTTACGCTTTGAATAAAAGAGAAAATGGGGAAAAAAGTGGGTCAGATATAGAGCTGCTGAATCATAATCCAAAAGAAACACAAGAGTTGGTGCAGTTTCCAAGAAATATATTTGGATGACATACTTTGCCACACATCCACTGAGATAATATAATATAGTCCTGACTTGCTGTAGCTGAAAGAAAAATAGGTCAGTGAGACCCGACACATATGCAACTGCCTGCTTTTCACCTTAAAGGGACGGTATAATATAAAAGAAACTTTTTTCTTTAGCCTTACATCATGTGATAATTTTATTACCTCATCAAAAACAACATAAACAACAAAACAACTCATAAAATACCTGGAGTTTTGCTTTGATTCTTTCATGCATGTTTGCGAAACCCTTGACTCATAAAGTAAAATATCTTCCTAAACCAATAAAAATGTTTCCCTGCAAGAAGTTTTTACGTCATTAAAACTAATCTCTGTAATAAATGCAAACTTTGGTTAAACCTGAGGAACCTTTGCAGTTACACATTTTTATTACATTAGATTACATTACATTTACGGTACAGTAATTCAGTCTTGAATAACAACCCAAGAGTTTCAGCTACATTTAACTGAATTAGGTGATTAAGACTAAATATTTAATCATTTTCACTGTAAAACAGCTCCACATATCTGCTATTAGATGCAACTACTCTGCTGTTTATTGTATTAATTCAATTTTAAAAGAAAAAATCTAAGGAAAGTTTTGCATAATGCCAGCTTTACGCAGAGGGAGTAAAGACACAAGAGTCAAAGTGTGTGTTTCAACACAACCCTAATGGAGGCACAGACTTATTTATCTTCCTAAGTGGCTGTGTGTGTTCTTTTAATGTAGTTAAATGAAGGGACGTGTTTGTAAAGAGAGAGGGAGGCAGATTAAAGATGACAGAAAGTAGGTCATAGAAACTCATGTAGGACGCTGTGTCATGATAGATGCTGACCAGAGTTCACCCACTGAGGCCTGACTGAATCACTGCCTAATGAGGCGTTCGCTTGCCTTCCTTTTGTTTTTCTTGGGGAAAAAATAAATGTAACAAGCATTTTTTTTTCTACTAGCAGCTTCTGCGACATGACTTCCATATTTCTGGCGCTTGGCGCTCCAAAATCGAGGGGAAAATCCCGTGCGATAATCTTGGGTCGTGTTCGGCGAAATAAAAGACAAGATACTGGGATAAACGAAGCGTGCTGCTGTCAGTTCTGCAGCTGAAGCTTCATCCCTCATATGCTTCGCGTACACTGCGACAGAGGCGGTGGCGGTGGCGGTGGCGGCGGCGGCGGCGGCATTGCCCCCCGCAGCGGCGTCCAGATGTCACAAAGGAACCAACCGCTCGGGGACACACAAAGGGACGTTTCGGTGCCGGAGATTGTCGTAGGAGGTCAATTTTTTTTTTTTTTTTTAAAAAGTGTGCTGCCTCGCTTGAGCGATGACTGCTCCGTGATGGATAGAAGACGACAAGTGGACGGAGAGGCCCGGCAGTTGAAGGACGCTGGCGATTAGCCGCCAGGTGTGCGCGCGCGGCGCGGGGAGGGAGGACGCTGTTTGTTTGTGTGCGCGCGCACGTTGAGCCACATTTGATTTTCATCTGGCGGCGTCGATCCGCTGCGACAGGGCGGCGCTCGCTCAGGGCGAATGTCACCTGACGGTGGCAGCGGACTTTGTCAAAGATAAAAAATAAATAAAACTCAAGCACAATCCTCTCGGACACATCTGCGCCCTCGAGTTTTCCTCTTCGGCTCCGTTGAATCGAGCTCGGTGTTGGCCGGCAAGTTCAGAAGTGGAAAAAGGAGTTAAAAAAAAAAAACAGAGCGGTCCGCACCTTTTCTAACAGGCACCTTAACGCGCCGATAACGAGACGCTGACAGACACTGAAACGCTGGAACTCAACAACTAAAACACACAGGGCAACAACGGGCCTCTTTGACCAAAATGGCAAAACTAAAACTTTAATCTCAAAGAGAAATCTGATCTCTACAAAATTAATCTCACTTAAAATAAAAATAAAAATGTGACATAAAATTAGTAATTGCACAATCATTCACCCCCTTCAAGTTTGTATTTATTAGATAAACCTTTGGATGCAATCAAGGCGTAAAGTCAGTGTGGATAGGCCGATCTGAATGCCGCAACTTTACCCTATGGCATTGATGTCTGGGCTTTGACTGGGCCACTCCAGAACATCCAAGTTGTTGTCTTCAAACCATTTCCGTGTAGCTTTTAGCCGGATGCTTCTGGTCGCCGTCGTATCCGCCAAACGCATTGTCTTCTCTGATGGCCGTAAAGCTTCACGTTGGTCTCCACAGACCAGAAAACTTTCTTCCACTCGACCACAGAGTCTCCAACATGCCTTTGTGTTGAGTCAAGCCTTGATGTGTTAATCTTATTTGTAAGTAATGAGAAGCACGCTTATGTAGGGCGTCAAAGTTTATGCAGTGGTGAGAGGCGCTTTAGGTTGCCATGCGCTCTTAATTTATTCTGCGGCGTGTGTGTGTGTGTGTGTGTGATGGAGCGCTGTGAAATGGCTTTATAGATATCAGCAGACAACTGCAGAGGAGTTGCTCCTAAGGGAAACTTAAATGCTAGTCGTGTTTGTAGTGCGTATTTGTGTGTTTGTGTGTGTGCTAAAATGTTTGCAACAATGTAGGTTAGCCCCATGAGTAGGAGATCTCTCTTTTCCTGCTTATTCTCTCTTGTACATTCCTCTGTTTTATTAAGCATCATTTCTACCAACAGACAACAACACATCTTCACGAACTGGGGTTACATAAGCATTTAATAATAAAACTAATAAAAAATAATGATAAATATTTCTAGCTAGAATGAAGGTTTAGCATCCAGCGGGAGCATAGCCAAATATATACACAGTCAGACCTACAACCAAGTGGTTTAGATCACAGCACATTGAAGGGTTTTAATGGCCCAGTCAAAGTCCGACCTAAATCCAGTGGAGATTCTAGGGGAAAAATAAAAAACAGAAACTGATGTTAAGAGATCGATTCCGAATAAGTTTGAACTATTTGGGGGAACAAATGAGCAAAATGTTCTCTTTAGACAAACCTGGCAGAGACATATTGAGTTTGGATTTGGATGTGAAGTTGCAGCAAACCGTGGCTCTGCAAAAAAAAAAAAAGAAAAAGAAAACCAGGGTTTATCTTCCTTCTACTTACACATAAAGGTGCTGTTCTGTTTTGTTTTGTTTTGTTTCGTGAGACAAAATATCTTAAAATTTGTATAGAAAATGTTGAAATGTTTTGGGAATACAAATCCTGTTTCAAGTTGCTGTAAATTTGTGAAAAAAAAAAAAAAAAATACAGAGCTTCTCTGAATCAACAGTTTGTGCTATTCTGCAAAAGGTTCCCGTCTTTCTGTTTACCTCTGACACCTCCACATACCTGACATCTAAACATCTCTCCTCTCTCCTTTGTGTGTCTGTTCTTTTATTTTTTTCGTACAGTGTGGCAAAGGGGCGGAGAACTTCGACAAGTTCTTCACGCGTACCCAACCCCAGCTCACGCCGCCCGACGAGCTGGTGATAGCCAACATCGACCAGGCCGAGTTCGCAGGATTCTCCTTCATCAACCCTCAGTTCGTTCACCCGTCGATCGTCAACAGCGAATGAGGAGGAGGAGGAGTAGGATGGTAGAGTCTCTGACGAAGATCCCTGCTCACTGCCGCCTACCTAACCAACCGTCGACGAAATCCAACTAGAGCCTCGAGTCCCACAGTTGATCCCAATGTGTTGGTGTTCTTCCTAAGCAGGAGTCTAGGGCATGCACATTTACTTTGTACATCTTTTTTTTTTTTTTCTTGCCAGTACAGAATATGAATTGAATAGACTAGATTGGTTTCGGTCACCATAAGACATCATTTTTTTTGTTAGTTTTTTTTTACTAATTATGAGCATGCACTGTAGGACGACGTGTCTCTGTAACCTGGGAGGCGTTCAAACAAGGAAGGGTGCCAGGCTTTATTAATCTATGCCAGTATATGATTTAGAAAACAAAATATGTTTACAAGCCTCAGTGGATTCAAATGGTGTCAATAGATCTGCAGCGCCGCGCAAAAGGAAGTCACACCGCTTGAATTTTTTCAGATTTCTTTCCGCAGCAACCACAAGCTTCGACGGATTTCGGCGAGTCCAAAGCAACCAGTCGGGATGAAAATATGTGATTTTAAAATAGTTTTTTTCTAATTTAAAAATCTGAAAACGCAGTTTGAAAAATTTTCAAATTCTCCGAAGGTTCTTAATGAGATTCTAGGTGCTATATTTCGCTTCATCCATCTTCCCATCGACTCCGACCAGCTTCCTTGTTCAGCTGAAGAGACGCATTCCCACAGCATGACGGTGTCACCGCCGTATTCTGCTGTGGAGACGGTGTGTTCAGGGTGCTAGTTTTCAGACACACGCAGCATTTTGTAATGAACATAGATCTATAGATCTCACCACACTCGGGTATCCTAAAAATAAAATAAAAAGTCTGTGTGAAATCCAGTGAAGTTTGTGGTTGTAACAGGAAAGATGTGCAAAATTTCTTGGGGTTAGTACATACTTTTGATAAGGCACTGTAGCTGGTGATTTTATTTTATTATTTTTTAGGTAATCAGAATACGCATATATCAGGCAGTTTAGATGCTATAGCCAAATATGAAGGATGGGTGGTGCAGGCGTTGAAACAGCACCTGGTTATTAAATGTGTCCTGTGTCATTTTTCTGGGTGTCTGCTTGTTTACTTTAAATGGTGACGGTGTGGGATTCAATTTCAGTTTCTTTCTTTCTTTTCTTTTTTTTTTTTTTGCCATCCCAAGCTCAACTGATATACATCTGTAGCAAATCAACTAAAAAAATGAATAACAACATTATGACATTTAGACACGGAAAGGGATGTTCCCAGTTCGTAAAACTCGACTTTAGGCACTGATGATGAAATAATGTGCGTAGCTACTGCCCCCTCATGAATCCCCTTGAGGATGAGATCAATTTGATTCAGCTTTAGTTTAGTTTAGTTTAGTTTAGTTTAGTTTAGTTTAGTTTAGTTTAGTTTAGTTTGCACAAATCTCTCATGAAACCTGAATAAGTTCATTCATTTTTCAACACTAGTTACTGTTTAAATTCTCGTTCGCCATAAATATCTAAGCAGACGCAGTGAGGATATTTTCAAAGTTGTTTTCCAAACTTTGCTGTGACAAAAACTGAACATAATTGTTGAAAACTTGTTGCTTTTATGCTGTAACATATCAGTAGGTTTGCTTACTTTACCCACATTTTTAGCTCAGACTAATGGATTAATCAAAGAAAGAATCGGNGTGTACCTTCTCTGTACATAGTTTTTAACCATTTTAAATACGTATGAATTGCATTTTTTTTATACCAACACATGCATACATTTCTGTTTGTTACCTGAGTCGGTAAAGCCAATATCTGTCTGTATGAGAGTTTGACGCCGATCGGCTGGATGAGTTTAACAGGTTGTGGCTAAAGAAATCTGTTGTACTTGTTTTGTTTTATTGCTTTTATTTGTCAAACTTTTTCTGTTTCTTAAGTACTTCTCAGAAATGTTGACTGCAGGTTTGCTTGGATTGGATGCATTTCCTAGTTGTTGAACGTCCTGGGTGTGCATGCGGTTTAACGAGCAACATTCTTGCATGGCATCTCAGTGCTGCATGCTGCAAGAGGAGAATTTCCAACTTTTAATCCGACACTCAAGCGCTCTCGTCCTTTTTGTCCCTTTGCCATTTTGTACTTTTGAAGTTTCTGTGTTTCACTACCAGACTTTTCCAAGAGCAAGGGGCCATCCGCCGTCTGATACCCGGAGTTTATCAAAACACTTCGCTACCAGGAGAAAAACTGGTGCCTTGTGCGTGCGAGGACTAAGGCAAACGTAGAGGACTACGGAAAATGATACAAGTTTTACGTGTGTGGGGTCGGTTGGACCCCATTTCTACATACAAGGGTTAATGTTTAAATACATGAGTGAGAAAGGTTTGTGTCTCAAAATAAAGTGGGAGTAAATTGGAAAAACATTACGACACGTTGCAAAACGGAGGTACTTATTGGCAAAGGGACAAGTCGTTTTAGACGCACTTATTTGAAATTCTTTAAATAAAAGTTTTATCCAAAGAAGTATTTTAAGACAGGTTTATAGATTTTTACTGTTGTTATAGGTGGAAGAAATGGTGATTTAAAATGTTTTTCTGTAGTTGTTGAGTTGTTCCTAATTTGTTTCACATCTTCTGTGTCTGTATATTTTGATTTGTTTGGAGACCCTCTGTTGAGCGCATGCAGATCTGTCTTAAAAACACATATGTAGCCCGTTAATCTGATTGATGTCGCACTGAGAAGGTGCGGAGCGGCAAATTTAGGGATTATTGAGACGGTAAATCTGTTTAGCAGATCTCTGAGCAGGTAAGCGCCAAGTGAGATTGGAAAGCGAAGTGAAAGCAACGACTTTGCCAGAAATATTATGTAATGTTGATAGCTAGAGGCTGATCAGTAAGAAAAGTGTTGTTTCTTTTAGTGGTTAGATTTAATTAGATGACACCAATATGGAAACTAATGGCAGAAATCATGTTGCTGGTTTTTGGTCTGGAGCTCCTTATAGTACAAATATATGGAAACACAACAAGCCTGACCAATTTTGTTGGCCTGGACATTTTTGCGATAAACAATAGTGTCATTTTGAGACCATTCTCAACAAATATAGTAATAATGACATAATAATGCCAGTCCATCCACTGAAAAATGACGGAAAAAAAACATTCAATTTCAATTCGACACTGGAACTGGAAAGCATTTTAAATATCCAAAAATAAAGCAAAACAATTGAAACTATAATAACTAAAATGGATTTTGGAGTTAAAAAAAATAACAGCCATTCAGCTTCAACAGGGAAAACAGGCACAAGAGGCAGACTAACTACTTCTTACTGGGTGTCAACTGTTTATTCTCAAAATGGCGGCTTTTCAACGACATTCAAGGGAAGCCTCTATATGACGATTGATGTCCAAATGGAAATGACCACACTCGTTTTAATTTATCATGTGAATAACTGATTTATTGCTTATGGTGACCGGCCTAACCACAATATGGCACCTGGTTGATTTGCGTTGGTGAATAGAACAACAAATCCAAAATAAATGTGTAGCTGCGACTTAAAAAACCTGATTATTCCCAGATGATGGAGGAGGGTTTTTTTTTTGTTGTTTAAAGCAACTGCTGTTTACATTTTCATCAGTTTATTCCTCCGTTTTATGCTCAAAGGACACATCTGATACTTGGGAATGCAGCTGAGTACTTCTTGAGTTGCACACAGACGCATCAGGGCTTTCCAAATTCCGACGAGAAATAATTTTTCCGCCCACCTGGCGCCCGCTCTAGCACGGCGCCCCTTTGTGTTGCACCCACTCACTGCTGATACTGATAAAAACATTTTTCTTACGCCTCCCTGCGTTCTACAACCCTTCTGCACGTGCCAAACATGGGAAAACAGCAGAACCCAACTACAGATGCAGACAGACCGGTGACGCTCTTTAGCAGCTTCTGACTTGACCACAAAACGTATCGCAGTGAGTCGCCATTGGTGCATTTCAGTACGAGTAGCAGTGCCAGTCGGACGGTCGGGTCCTCGTCTATACAGCAGGAGGAGAATCAGCTTAAGTGTTTAATTTTAGCCTCTGCAGTCGGTTACAGTGAAAGAAGATCAAATATTCATTGTACATACTGTCTCTGCCCTGTATGTGTCCTAGACTAGCTTCTTCCCTTCAACAAAATGTCTGAACGTCTCGTAGTTTAAGACATTCAGGGGCGTCACAATATCTAATCTTTCCTTGTGTGCCTTCCCCCCCGCTTGTAAAGATGCAACATGTTTAGCTTTCCCCCCCAAATTTTGTTTTTTATTCAATTCTACACCTATTTTTTCTTAAATAACGAAGATTAATTTACTTTTTTTAAGCTACTTTGCTCCACGCTTCTCTCATTGCTTATTCCTGTAAATGTGAATGTTTTTTTCCCCCTACACCTCATTTTCTGTAATTAACCTTTAGATTTTAAGAAAGGAAAAACTGGAGTAATTCTCGTACGTCTGCTCGCGTCCCCTTTACCGCCCTGCGACCGCCACGGAGTGAAAATCACCTGAGTCAGTAAACGCCTCAGCGACGTGAAATGACGGCGTATTTGACGGAGGAGTACGCGTGCGACGTGTTGAACGATGTTTTCTGATGGTGAGGTTTGTATCAGCCCCTGTGCCTTGTCACGACGATCCACTTCTTCTCCCTAATCTAGTCAAATCTATCACTGTTATCGTTGGTTTTCTTGACTTTTTTTTCCACGAAATTCCAGATCAGGAAACTCGATTTCCCTCGAACGGCGGCAATTATCAGCATTCTTCTTCCTTTTCATTCTCATTTTACATTTAGACTGTCGTAACGTTTTAGAGCCGATTTAGAAAATTTTGACTTACCAGAAGTTACAGAGGAACATATGTTGTTTTATATTTGGGTGTATAACATTCGAATGAGGGTTTTCTTTCTTTTAGTCAGAAACTTCAAATAAACCCTTCCTGGCGAATGATGGGTACCGATTTTCTGAATCGGTAAAGTACAAGGATGCCTTATATCTGAACTTACAGAGCCACATTTCCGCCTACTTGTTCCGTGTTATTTTATAATCGCTGCATACCTGTCCTTGTATATAAATAATTTACAGTAGGTATCTACAAAAGACTGTAAAAGAGAGCGAACATCTTGTATTTTGCAAATGGTGTACGTTTTATTTTTCTTCTTTTTTTCCATTGTTATAGCCTGAGACCTTTAACATAAGTCTGAGCTACTTAACCTTGTAACAGATTGTGTCATTTGTACCTAATGTATGATAATGCAAATAAACAAAAAGGCAAAATGAGGTCCAGACTGATGCTGCTGTGTGTGTGTGTGTGTGTGTGTGTGTGTGTGTGTGTGTGTGTGTGTGTGTTAAGATTACGACTCAGGTTTCATTGTAATCTAGATTACGTTTCTGAATTTTACGTCCATTCTTTCGTTTTGTTTGGCCCAACGGTGCTGACACAAACCTGTACGGTGGATTTTATTAGGCCGCAATGTAATAAACCCAAACAAAAATAATGCACAGTGGTGAGATAAGATGAGTTCAACTTTCCCAGTTTAGCACATCTAGAATTAAAATCTTTGCACATTTTTATTGCGATAAAGCTCAGATTCGCTCGGATTGCATGGAGGTTCTCTGAACAAGAATTTCCCAGACAAATCACGGTTTTTCTGTTGGATGTTTATCTCTAGACTTTGACTGGGCCGTTCTAACCGTTGCACACGTTTCAGCCTAAATCGTTGCATTGTATTTCTGGCTGAATGTTTTACGTTTTCTCCCAGGATTTCCCTGTTTTTCATTCATTCGTATCCTCACCAACAACTCTGCTGTGTCACACAATCACTCTGCCACCACCGTGTTCAGCGTTGGAGAATTTAATGTGCATTATTTCATAAAGTTTGACCAACAAGTCTTCCTTTTCACCAGACACAGACTGGCCTGGTCTCAGAGATCAACAGTCGGGTTTAGTCGAGAGGAAGCGTTTTCTCTCAGGATGAGTTTTTTCCCCATTAATTTAAGAGTCAGGCTAAAGTCAGAGTCTTGCAAATGGTTTCTATTGATCAGTGAAACTTTTTTGCTAATTTCTTCTAACCTTGATGTCTGCACCATTTTAGATGCTCCTTCGTCTTGTTAACGGAAAAAATGATCCTCAGGTTCAGCCTGGTAATTATGGTATGCGACAAATTAAGTAGTAATGAAAAGATTTTTTAAAGATTTTACACATTTTATGGTTTTGTGCCCTGAACGTCGACATTGAGCAGACTGATTAAATGTTAAAAACACAATTAAATACTTTTCCTATATCTATATAGTTTCTACTTAAACATAAGCCACACTTCCTACAGCTCGTGCTTTTACTCATTTTTCATATTTTAGAATAGCAAATTTAATGCCTCTGGAAAAGTGCATGAACTTTGCAAAACAATTCTGAAATAAGGAGAGAGGATAATCTTGGCTTTTACTAGATTTTTATCTGCATATATGCTTTTAAGTTTAGAAAACAAAACATTTTCAATACCCTTATGCTTTTCTTTCCTGTTTTCTGTCACATCAACATAAGCAGGAGAGGCATTTTGTGTTTAAATGTGCTGCATTCATGATCAAATCCTGAAAGTAAATCAGCAGACCGTGTTTTGGTCTCATTTCATTTCTACCGTGTTTATTTTTCTTCCCAAAAATCTTTTATGTCTTTGGTCAAATTCATGTAAGTTAGGATTACAGATAAATAATAATTATTATTAACTGAGCACAGGTGCACATTGTGTGCAATAAAACAGATTTACTTTTTTTTTTTAGATGACACATCAGTGATTAGTTGTGTGGATATAAGTCTAAAAATGCTTATTTTGGACAAGCCTGCAGGATTTTACTTAGCAGCTATAAAAGTTTCTAGATGTTGATTCCTTTTGTTCTTTCTTTTGCACCAATGCAGACACACACACACACACACACACACACACACACACACACACACACACACACACACACACACACACAACTTAAGTAAACATTCAGCTGTTAGAAAATGATAAGAAAAGACAATGTGGTCATAGATGATTACATTATTATGCGTCCATATTCGTCCATATTGCCTAAAGCGAAGCAGATGCAGTGATGTTACTGTCCAATTCACATTCATGTCGTCTTGAGCAAATACCAAGACTGGGTGTGAAGTAGAACTGAATTAAGACGCATCTGGAAAGTATTCACCGCTCACGTAAATGTGATTTCTGGGATTTTAAGAAATTTGCAAAGCACTCAAATGATTTTGCCATTATCAGTGGTATAATGGGGTATTTGTGTGTAGAAAACTTTTTGCTTGAAATACTTTTGAGTGTCAACAATGTCTGTTAGTCTAAATTCACTCAATACTCATCCTCCAGGTTGTCGATCTCCATGTTTTTGTTCATTTTTCGAGTGTCTAATAATCGTTTAGGGAGGGATGAAAGGACTCATCCTGAACAGTGTTTGCGTTGTAAAACTAATGTTTTTTGATTTGCGTCCACAATTAGATGCTGAAACCCAAAAACACACGTTTCTCTGCTCCCCGAGCGTTCCTAATTTCATAAACTATCAGAGCTTACAGCTTGTTTTTCATTTGAAGGTGTTGACGCTAGAAGGTGTTTTTTTTTTTTTCAAAACAGAGGTAAAAATAGCATGTTTGAAATGTGCGGGGAAAGAAATAACACAGTCAAAGCAAAAGAGATGCTGACTGGAATTAGAATCAGGGCCTGGTTGCTTTCCAATCAGGTCAGCAAGCGGCGGCGGAAAATGCCAAGTCAGAACCGAGCTGATGACAGCTTCCTTACTCACTGATCAGTTGTGTTGATTAGTCAGAATCTCTGAATCAGAGATCCTGTTTAGAGAGGGTTAGTCTGAGCCGTTCCCTCAGTACTAAACCAAATGTTCATCGTTTTAATTTGATCAACTCGCGACACATTACAGCTTTACTGTAAAGGACTGACAGGTGAAAATATACAGTAGTGCATCTTTTAATTTTATGTTCAACTTTATTTCCCAAACGATTTTTATTTATTTTTTAAACTGAAGTTGAATGTTTACCCATAGTACATTTTTACACATTAAGTGTAGAAGTGATGTAATAAAATTGTAAATATTACTGAAACACACAAATACGAAGGAACACTGCACTAACAAATACTAGTGAACCAGTTTAGTGCTTTTAACATCCATCCATCCATCCATCCATCCATCCATCCATCCATCCATCCATCCATCCATCCATCCATGGA